AATGAACAAATTGTAAATGTATATAAAATTACAATGTAAATCATTGTCTTAGATGATGATTACAACATCAATGTTTGACAATACTAACAGTTTTTTAGAATTGTACCTAAATATGGAAATCTGTTTCAAGTTGACTTGGAGCCATTCAGAGAATTCATGGATTGACAAAAGCATGTCAAAGATATTGCTTTAAAACAGCATATAGATGCATAGAAAGATAAAATGATTTGTAGTATTCAGGCGCATGAAAGCCCAAACGATCAGCAACATTCAGATGAGATTTGAACATTGTCACCCCAGGTGTGGTAGATTTCAACATGGAATTATATAAATACAAATTTAACTAACTGGAATAAAGAGTTTATGATTTCTGTTTAATATATTAAACACTAGTCCATAAATAATATTCTATTTTTTCAATTGTTATGCTCTATAGATATAATGCAACAACACAAAGGTATTTAAAAAAGATGGAATAAATAAATTATACTTTTATTATTTATTGCTTTTTTGTTATGCATTTACTGTTAATAGGTAATCATATTGTTAGCAATATAAGCATGCAGAATAATAAATGAGACCAGCTGTTACATTATACCAACCGTAATTCAGCCTTACAATGTTCAGTGTAATGATATCAGAGTTAGGTGTGAAATTGTGCTTTTTCACTTGTATACCAGCTAATGTCTATCTACAGTACTCATTTCGCCCAACCTCTCGCCCGCTTCCGGATTTAGACCGCTTTTTTTTCGCACGCTTTGTTCAATTCGACCGTGCAATTTCCGCTTTATTTTTGATCGCGCAATCGCTCGCTCGCCTGCCAGCGCAACTGCCCGCATTTACAGTTCATTACCTACTGTTTCATGTACAAGTGTATCATTTTTGTTTTTATGATGTTAAAATAAGGATAAATACAATCAGAAATTTATAAATGACCGTTGAATAAATGCGGTGGATCACACAGCCATATAAAACTGGTAATAATACATATGCGTAGTAATAATGTCCACCATAAACAAGATCGAACCAAACATGTGAAATCAAATATGACACAGACACAACTAATATGAAATAAAACCATTCTATTTTTGGTGGAGAGCGAAAAATGTCTACTGTAGAGTACGGTATTCGTTGAGTAACCGTGTGTCGGGTGACGGTTGTCATGCACGCATGGTTTGGGTTTAACACGGGTCAAGTTGCACCTATAACATTGAAGAATATCTGCAGGAATAGTAAGACTGTGAAAAAAACGACCAATCGATTGTTATAGAATGACCATAGTGTACAATTTGTCAAACAAATACAATACTTGCAAATGTAATGTCAGCCAGCGCCCGTCTTACTTGTCCGAAGTTGTCGAAGCCGACATCAATGGAGATCGCGTTTTTTACCTTACCCGTACCATCAAAGATGGAAGGGAAAGGTATATTAAGGGAAAGATTTTGTCCGGCGTTGTTGTTGTTGTCGTCGTTGTCGTCGTCGTCGTCATTAATAATTGTTATTGTGTGCATAATAACTTTACTAATTCTATTCCAAACTTCATCAAACTTGGTCACTTATTCATCAGTATAATGTCTTCCCTGAGTATGAACAACAGATGTCCTGTATGAAAATATCATGCAAAAATTGAGAAAATCTGATAAAATATTTTGACTGTTTCTACTTGACTGATCACTGGTGATACACATCAAAGGTCACTGATCTCAGTGGAAATATGCATTGTTGTATGTGTTCAATGAAGCAAATGATTTATCTTGTAATAATATCCTTGGTAATGTATACCAGAATCCCATACTGGGTTTCAAAACCAACTCATGGAGAGATTGCACAGTCTGATACACATTTGCAAACCTACCAATAAAATCTTTACAGAAAACAAGTAACCTGTAGAATGCTGTGTGGGTAAAATTTTTATATTGATTTTTGTTGCATTTGCAGCAAATAGTTACCAAACAATGAGAAATCTATAGGATTGGATATACCTCTCAGCTGGCTCCACATGCATAGTTCAAGACTACCTAACCGGTGCTTACACCAAGATTTAGTTACAGCACCTAGACGGTCTGTGGTTACAGCTTCATGTTCCAAATAATCGCATTGACATTACAATAGAAAATCATGAAAGACTGGCACTCCCATGCAATTAACAGCGAGTGAAATTCCTGGGATTGAAACGTATATTTTGAAGTCACTGATGTGGGCAATGAATAACTTCAAGTTGACATAAAGGTAGTTTATTCAATCAGTGCTCAACTAGAGGCTGAAATTATAACTAATTTGTTCATTTCAATTTCTCCTGAAGTCAAATAGAATACACTGGTGAAACACGGTAGTAACCGTGGGTGAAAGGATGTTTTGGGGTGTAGTTTACATTGTGTATGGAGTGGTAGGGTCGGGTGTAATTTGTTCATTTCCAACTCTTATGAAGTCACGTAGAATTTCACTTAATTTATTTTTGCTGACATGTTTTCAAGCATTACATGTGAATCCAATTTTCACTGTGCTGTGTCTCAATAGAGTATGAGGGCAATTGCATTTTTACTGGAATTTATTT